ACGAAAAAGGACGGAAAAGTCATCTCTACCCACTCTCGCTATGAAATGCGAGAGGCGAGCTGTATTAATATTGAATCCTTATATGAATGCAATAATATCTACCTTATTTATGGTAAACTTKAATATTTRAATCATATTATCTTAAACAATATAGTGTAAAACATTTTAAGTAGGTAGAAAAAGCATATATTTAGTACTCTTAACTTTTAGAAGTCTTACAAGTTAGAAGGTTATAAATTACTGATACCTAATGAAACCATATAACTTTATTTTATGAACATCGATTGYTATTAGCTAWATAGCTACWCACTATGTACCTATCTATCATATTATGAGCTTTTAAGTTTTAATAAATCTTTACTTGATTAAATAGCGAGCTAACTTATAATATGTGTTTTTTTAACTTAAACAAAAAAATGTATAATGTATATTGTTGACACACAAGATCGTATTTAAATATTTCTCGAACTAGTTTTTCAATTAACCATATAAAAAAATTTAAAATTTATCTTACCGGTCTATTGACATCAATTTCACCACTCAAGACTTTTTTGTATAAATGTTTTGCTAACTCTTCAAACACGTCTGACACGTTACTTGCCGTTTTGGCAGAAGTTTCAAAAAATAATAAGCTATTTTTGTAAGAAAAGTGTTCACCTTCAACTCGTTCTACTTCTCTATTATCTTCTAAATCACTGTAATATAATAACAAATAAGTTTAAAATCAAATGATAAAAATCAAAAATAGATATTGTATTTGTAAGTAATTTTCAAAAATTTAAACCGACACGATTTTTCATTCTTCGTGAAGATTTAATAATTATTTCCAGTAAAATAAAATAATTAAGTTTTTAATCGACTTAAAAACTATGATCAAAGCACAGATTTTATTGATCTCCCGTTATTWTATATTTTTATTTATTTTTCTATTAATTTGTTTTTTGATATAATAAGTTTCACGTGGTATTCTAAAATATAATACATATTTATTATTTATCGATTAGAAATCAAAGCTAATTGTTAGTTTAAACATTTTTGCAAATACGATTACGAAGAACCAATTAGATAAGTTTTCATTTTTCTGAGTAGTTTCATTAGTAAAAGAAAAATAATTTAAGTTTAGAAAATGTAAAATTATTAAACAGATGTAGTTTTAAGCTGAATGTCTCAATACTTTCCTTAAAAGTGAAGCTCATTTATAACTGTCAAAGTGGCAAATTTAATAATAAAACACAAATATGATTATTTGCACACACATGTGGTTTACCAAAACTCTTAAGACGAAACATGTTATTATTATTGACACATTAATTGAAACATAAGTACTTTATAACATATTTTATAAAATATTAATTTTTAACTTATAACATAAGGTACATGTCCATACGTATACATATATTCCTGGGACCTATAGCTAACATAATATCAAAAACAAAAAGCATTGACCATTTTATCAACTATAACGCTCCATGCTGCAAGTATATTATTCCTCTTTATTGTTCATATTATACATTATACATGTGCAGTGTATAGTATTAGTGTATACACTATACATAATACATACAATGTAACGAAAACAATATAAATATAATAATCGAATGGTAAAAACGTTATCTAAATAAAGATAAACCTAAATTATTTTTTAGAAAAACAATAGGTATTGGTAGGTAAATGGTTGGACCGTACAAATTTCTATTTAGTAATGAACTCAATAAATAACAGGGAARAAAAAAGGACCACTTACAAAATATTGTGCATGACACTATGRCAGTCATTTATCAAATTATTAATTCAAAATAACTCACTTAAATTAATTAAAGTTGTTTAGTTATTAAATTATTTTTGTTGTTTACGTTTTGTTGCCCACTAACGCGAACATCATTCTGGTACCAGAATTAAGTCGAGCTTCTCTTAACCATTCACTAACGTGCTGAAACGAATARCGTTTAGTGATATTGTACACTAATATACATGCCGCAGCACCCGAATAATATGATCTAGCTATGGATTTGAACGCTTCTTGACCAGCAGTATCCCAAACAGCTATTTTGATTTTTCTATTATAGAGTGACAACGTCTTATGGCCATAATCTATTCCTAAAGTAATAATTTAACATAACCTTTAATATTTACAAAATAATTAAAAACACAAAATTATGTTTAATAATATAATAATATTACCTATAATTATAGTTAAATAATTGAAAATATGTCATAAATAATGTTGCCAAGCAGATCAAAACAACTGATATAAATTAATTTAAAAAAAAAATGTTTTTTCTATTTATGTATGATAGCATTTTTGTTTTAATATGAGGATCTTCATCAGTTGTTCTATATATATAT